TAAAAAAACGCCTGACCTGCGCGGAAGGCGCAGCACAGTCACCGCGAAAGCTAGAAGAGCGGCCTTTCAGAGCATTTTCAAACACTCATCGGGTAACTGCAGCAAGCACAATTGCTTGACATCTAATGGGGCATTAACAATGAACTTTTGGATAGCATGCTGGCATTCGCTATGCTATTTTTCTTCATTCATCTGAGAAGCGTTGTATCCGCTATACACCTGCAAAGCATTTCGTGCCAATTGTCCATGCAGTGGCTGACGACGACGATGCCTGAAGTTGGTATGCGCCACTGTTAATAGCGGAACGAGGACAAGCTTTTGTAATGGGTTGGAGCATTGGACAGCCCACACGTTACGCGATTCACATTGTGAGATGACTGGTTGTTTTTTTACTGTGTCCTTGGTGCTAAGTTTGCAAACAAGTCAGCAACACCGGCGTATTTCAATGGTAGAATACTGGGCTGGCACCCAACACACCCGGGTATCGAGCCCTACTGAGTCCTTCTTATTAGGGTTTTTTTTTTCATTTCACGTGGTGTGGTTACGAACAAAGACGGCGTCAGCAGTGGACAACTACGCGTCACCAGAGTTCTTATCTCATAAGCGCTTTCGCTGTGAAAATTGACAAGATGTTGTCTTGTCTTGACCGATTGATTGATTGATTTGTGGGGTTTAACGTCCCAAAACCACTATTTGATTATGAGAGACGCCGTAGTGGAGGGCTCCGGAAATTTTGACCACCTGGGTTTCTTTAACGTGCACCCAAATCTGAGCAAACGGGCCTACAACATTTCCGCCTCCATCGGAAATGCAGCCGCCACATGTCTTGATCGACTCGTGACACGGGGTGATATTGATAATCCTTTAGCTAAAGCAATAATTGAAGATTAGGATTGAGGTAACTGCGGAGTGCAAATCTTTCAATATGCAAATTGTTTTCTAATTCACACGTCAGCACTACAAATAGGACATCATTCAACCTCCTAACTAAGGAACCCTACAAGGGGTGGTCAATTTAGCCACACTTTTCCATGTACTCATGCGAGGCCTTGCAAGAAATTTCAGATATTGCCAATATGCAACATCCTATGTATGCAGGCGTTACAGTATGGACAACTACAGGCGGCCTAGCGGAGCACAAAGATAAGCTACAACAGGCAGCTAGCACCATAGGAAGGTACACAAGGATACAGGATTTTTAATTAATGCACCACTGAAAAGTGGGATCTCTTTCGCTTCACAAAAAGAAAAGCACGGCAGATGTACCCGACTATATAGCTGGAAGTCACGCTAGAAGGACGCACAAAACGTACTCACAGGTAAAGATGCACGCGAATAAGCGTTTTAGCTGTTACTTCGCTGTGTCTTAAAAGCGCGCGCTTTTCGCAAAGGGAGACTGCGATGATTGCATTGACCTTTGTGCGCCGGTAACTATAACATAATCATTCCAGGTAAAACCCGAGGCCAGCCAAGACGTATGATCCTCCCCTTCTCTTCACCGCGAAATAAGGTCGTGTGACGAAGCGTCGCTCCCATCCTCTAAGCGGAGAAAGTACGCGTGGGAGTTTAGAGCACTCGCCGCCGCGTGATATAGCGACGCGCACTCAATGCACAATCTTGCTGATAATCCTGAAAACACCATTTTCCCCGCGATTCTCTTCAGCAGCGGTAAGTAGAAGATATATATAGCTTGCTGTTCGAACGTTGAAGGGCGTGCTTCTCGGTGGCTCAGTGGACCGAAGTTTGATACCGCACACCAGAGTCTTTTTTCTGGATTTTTTCTATCTTGCATTTTCATATATTGTAGCGTAATGTCCTGGTCGGTCGCTATTTGGTCGCCGCCGGAAAGACGATCGACGCGCACACACAGCAGATCTATAGACTTCCTTTCAAACAAATATATTTCGCTAAATGCACTCTTTATTGACGTTATACACACGTGTACCCTACGTGACTGGGACAATTCTGTGCAGCACTCGTTGCAACCTGCTCTCGTGTCGGCCGCCGAGCGACTCTTCCTCGGCTCCCCTGGCAACATCCCGAGAGCCCGCCCAGAGAACAAACGCTGAAGGACCACCCAATTGTATCCGTTGATGACACCCAAATTGGGCATAAATAACTAAAACAGGTGCACCCAAGTGCAGGGGGCTTCCGACGAGTTTGACCACGAGGGCTGCTGTCAACCTAAAGAATAATGGCCTAATTAAACACACACAGAAAACTACCGCGACGTATGTTAAGACGATAGCCATAGCGCAAGAACAGAATGACGACACAGAGACAAGAAGAACACGAGGAACATGGAGGACACGAAAGCTACTTCTTGTCTCTGTGTCATCGTTCTGTTCTCACGCTATAACTATCGTCATGTCATACCAACTAGCCCAAGCTGCCACATCTCTAAGGTACGTTAAGCGTCCACAGTAAAGCTCCCCCGCATACTGCCCGACACCACGGAGAGCCACTGGTGGCCCCCTACATTAAAAGAGCTCCGCGTAGGATGGAAGCAAACGCTCGCACAACACAGCCAGTGTGACTACTGCCCACCTACTCTGGGGTGAACCTGCGACGTTGGAACGAACCAAATATTAAAGAAAATAGCTACATCAACGTTTACGCGACAATATATAGATACGTATACATATATAGTTAGGTATGGTGACGCCCGATGCTGACACTGGTGGCAAAATCCAGCCGAGAGGGCCCATATAATTGCTATCGTGACAAAAGAATTTCGAAGAAGTGACGCAGTTAGTGTGAACACCCGCGAGCTCACTATCACCGTGCCTTTTGAAGGGAAAATAATGGGATCTATATTTTGACACCGAAGGTTCACATAAAAACTTGCGAGCAGAGTGCACTGAAGGTTCCGGTGAAAATCAGCTTCAGTATGCTACTGGAATGCGATACGGATTTATGGTAGTATCTTTTTGTTTACCTGAAGTCTACCTAGGTAAAATCAAATGATCTGATGGTTCTGTGGCAGAGTGGGAGTTTTGTCGCTTTTTGTATTGCGTCAGACGTCAGCGAAACCTTTCAATATTTGAGGCGCTGATTTGTAGACACCTAAATAAGACACCTAAAGTGCTTATGTACCTTGGCCATTTGATAACCTTTCATTGCTCTCATGAGGTTGATCTCATCAAGAAAGTATTAAAGGCTTTGTTAGCGTCTTCTAGCTCATTGGATTGTTCGGTAGTTAGGCAGATGGTTTAGGTTGGCAACTACATAATTTTTATTTGTGTTCACTTTTTTCCGCTAAACAAAATTACTGGAAATTGCAGCCATGTGGTGGGAAGTGCTTAGTTTTTTTTGAATCGGCCAATTTCTAAGAAGGTAAGAGAGTCGTGATTATGACGTTTTTGCTTTGTACATCAAATACGTTGTGTGTATAGTTGTAAAACAGTCTCTAAGAACAAGATGAAGGCATCAGAAGTGCTCAAAATACTTTGATGCTTGTATGGGAAGTAAGTGAAAGCCTCCTAATGGAACGAAAAAGGTTAGCACTTACGAGGCAGATACCCGAGTTAAACGAATCAAAATGTCTGTGTCTGTATAATGTCTATAAAGTCGCCATTGCGGTATGGGATGTCAATATTATCTATATTGCCATATGTCTGCCTGGTCAATCTATTGCCACAACATATCCAAAAACCTAATAGGCGTGAGTCATCGAGCGGGCGCTTAGTTTGTTTTTTTCTGTACCTCGAAAACGAACACAGATATGCGAAGTATCGAAAGCTGCTATGTCTGCACCTACATGCTCTAAGAAACAGCTTTCCGATTTGAGGAACACGTGAACGAACTGCCAAAGTTTATTCCCGGAGCTATGGAAAATATGCATCGGTCAAGCGGCAGATGACTGATTGAAACGCCGATGAAACATTACTACCAAAACGGGCAAGAGCGATTTCAAAGCACTAGAACAATGAAATTTCCGGGGTCGTTGTTGTCAAGCTATCTTTGAGCGGACATTCGCGGTGCGCAGATGCCGATGTAAGACAGGGCGTGAAATGTTCGAAACTCACGCATTATTTCTTTACAATACCTTACATTGCCTTTGAAGGGCATTGTGTAAGTAGGGCAGCACAGAACCTACGTGATTGTTATATACGCATTAGAAAATATTGATTACTCTAGGAAATTCTGTTCAACTCATAATCATATAAGCGCAATTCATACTCAAAATTTAGTTTGAATATGTGAAAGAGTGACATTGTCATACAAAACATGTTTTAGCGGTAAATAAAAATGAGCCACAGTGCAATATAAAAAAACTGAAAAAATGAATTTCCACGAACAAGTATACGCATCACTAAAAATACAGGTGGAAGGAAAAACGGCATCGCTAACACAACTGTACGTTGAGGTGATTATGTAGATGTGATACATTCATTTTCAGTGCACAATTGTTTTTAAAGATAGTGGCCAAACTTTGCATGGCGTTGTTCGGATGAACCAGCATCTGGCGGATTAGTCCGCAGAAGCATCACTCGTGGAAGAGCTGATAGGCTGAAAGCGTTAGTTTTACCGTGCATGCTTTCTAAACTGAAGCTAATAAACACTCGGCACGATACTGGTTAGCTCTGCGTGTGTAAACAATCCTTCGACCTTACCAAGGAAAGGACTTAGCATTGCGTTAGAGATTAGCTAGTTTCTGTAGATGAAGACACAGTGGGGCGTGTTTTGTGAGAAAACTGTCATGTTTTCTTGTTCAGAAGTTTTTGCGCAAGAAATATTGTGATGTTAGTTCAAGTGAGCACTATGTCTTCTGTGCATGTTTTTACATTTGTCCTGTTATAAACTTCTGAATGAGCACGGAACCTTCATTATCCTATAAATGACGACTGTCTGACGAGTGCTGATGCCATATTTATAGAAAATACCCTTACGCCAATCTGTGTACCTTCATTTAGGAATATTAATATTTCACAATGATGGTGTGAAACAATTTGTGGACATGCTTGCCCTGTAGGATCAGTCTAATGATGATGACTCACGACTTCCAAGACGAGAATATGACCACCGCCTTCTTAATAAAGGCCCGCGCAGAATGATTCCACTTGACCGCATATTCTTTAGTGCATATTTCTTTAGGATACTCCAGCGTGGATAAGTTCAAATAGGTGACCCTGGATTTCCTAAACTACAGAAAATAACATACTCATTGTTACACAATACTAAGACTAAAACATATATTTTTCTTGCAGCAATCTCTTATTCTCGGAAGTACTTCGCACATATTCACTCAAGCACCAGCTCAAACTCTTAGAACAATCTTCTAACATGTGCCATCATGTTAATATGTGCCAAAGTGGAGCGCCTGGAGGCCTACTACATATATGTGGCCTGATAATAGCGACAAGCTGCTATAAGTTGTCGGGCGGTTTCCTTTTCGCACCCGGGGTAATTGTAGCCTACATTGCGACTTAGAAAGAAGTTGCACTCTTGAGGGCCTAGTATTGGGTCATATCTAAAAAGGACGCCACTCGTGTTAAGAGCCCGTGCCTGGCCATGACTGTCGCCATTACCTATTATACCTGAGTGTCCACTAATAATCACCTGAACACAACCGTTATCTTGCGAGAATTCATTGTTTCCATCAGATAGATAGACATTCCAATTCATTGCGAAAGTAAGAGCCATACAGTGCGCGATGAGATATTTATGACTCATTATTTGGAACAGTGCATTTTTAAAACTATAAAAATTTTTGTCAGATAAAGCAACTTCCTTGATTGCTACCAATTTCTCAGCTCTTTGCTGTGCACAAAACACGGGTAAAGTTTCGATGCCACGAGGGAGGTGTCAATACCAGAAACTAACAGTGAAAAAATTAGGGAACGCTGCATTATTCTTGCGTAGGGAAGCACCTATGTTGTTCCAAATTAAATACCAGGGGCTAAAGTAGCATACTGGAAATGGTCACGTTACTTCTCACTAACGTCTCCAGATTTTTCGATGTATATCATTTTTTATTGGAAAAGATGCAGGGGCCTTTAAGGCTCCTCCACTCTATCTCACTACCACAGTCTAGTTCTGCTGAAGCTATATGGTATAAACAAGTGACATGCTTGCGCAACACAACACATCTTCAGATGCAATTGCCTTGCAAAATTGCAGCTTTGAGCCACTCCTCTTGTTTAGCATATGCTGCAATTTGTAAATAAGTGAATGACCTTTTCACCTTCGCATTGACCCTGTATTTGTTTATTTCTTGTAACAATAACCTCCAGCAGCAGTGGTTGCAATAAACACAGCAGCGCTCTTTAGGGCGGGCCATCTGCTTCGAACCAAACTTTCGCTTGCTCCTCGCACACAGCGCTGACAGCAACAAATAAGTGGCAATAGTAGCAAGCCATTTAAGCTATCTTACGATGATCACAATAATGAAATACGTTCTGTAGTTATTTGCGAGATGAGCTGCTTATTTAGTCACGCCTGCTCAGCCTGACTCGCCGCCAATTAGACAATGGTTGATAGAAATAGCGTAATGTAGTCATGAACACATTGCCTTCCGAGCGTCGAGACACGTATTTATAAGAAGTTTTATAAGAAGTGGAACTATCAGTTTAGAAATTACAGGCACAGATCACGAAGACGACTCTATAGGCTCGAGGCCAAGGAGTCCAGCATTGATGGATGTAGCCATCTTCATTTTTTGTTCTTCCTTGGCACTGCCTTGCTCTCACCGACACATGCGCACAAAGGCCAGTCGTACGCTGTGTGGACAAAGCGGTGCGGATAGATAGATCATCAGATGTTTTCTTCCGTCCTGTTTGCTATGGGGCCCTGTAGTCAACACAATGCTGAATGACGTTGTGGAGATAGAGGGTGGTGTGGCGACGCAAAGAGGTGCGTCTGTGTGCGTGGCAGAGAGCGCCTGCACCCGCACAAGAAAGTTATCTTCGAGACGAAGGGTGATAATAAAAGTGAGTTGTTCTTTGGGACTCGAGTCGTTCACTTGCGCAGATCTGCCGATCGCCGCGTCTCAACAGCAGCTTCAGATACAGCGAAGAGTAATATTCTCAATGTCGTGTTTTGTACCAGCAGTGCTACGAGTGTGATGCAGTTTTCTATCCGCAAACTGCTCAGGCAAAATATAGAATATACTATGTACGCATAGATACCTAATGCTGGAAATATTGCAGCCAGCTTATGTGATCTACCTTGCAAATATACTGCCCTAACATTTTTTGCACTCGATTACAATAATACACAGTACGAGCATGGTGACCAAGTCTTATGCAGTGCCCCTCACTTTAGCAACATGGGTGAAGGTTTTTCGGCGTCCTAGGCAGCTAAGCAGGATGATTTATTCGATTGTCTTACCATTATTGGCCATGTTCATGATGGCTTGCGTGAAGCGTTTGGTGCTGGAATGCCATGCTACAAAACAAAGAATTCAGCCAACTGTAATCTCAATAGCGGAATGAGTGATATAAGATCGAAAAAAATCAAGCTTCTGCGTCACATAAGTTTTTTGCTAATGGTTGGCTCTTTATCGTAGTAAATACGCAGTCTTACAGAGCTGAATTTGAACGAAGCAAAATGTAGTTACTGCGATAAAAAAATATTAAGAGAAGAATGTATACCTTTTGCTGCAGTGTCTTCTGCTTAGTTTGTAAGTATTGTAGACATTTATACGGGCAGTGCTTCGGGCTTTACAGATGCTGATTTTCCTGCATTTTATATTCTATAGCTATGCTTTTTTTCTTCAAAAGTACACCTATTGGTTTTACGCGCTGAAGGACTACACTAAGCGACGGGTAAAGGTGTATCGACCTACCGGGGCATTGACTTTCGTGCATCGCTTTTGATGCCGATTCCAGAAATAATACATGGTGTGCCATAGAGACTTCTGCACTCAACTGTTCGATTTTCCCACAAATTTTATAAGTGTGTACCCATCGAAGCGCACCATAATTATCAACAAAATTATCATGCCTATTCTTTCGCGGCTAGTTTGAATCAAAAAGGACCGAGTAACTCCCCCATCGACTGGCCACACCATCCTTGTATGCATTATTTTATGGAACTGTAGTCACCGTCAAGCTAAGAATAAAAATTCGGCAGGTTCAACGTACCTTGAGAATCAATTTTATGCAAGCACATGGAGGGAAAGCGTCCGTGTTATAATACTTTATTCAGTAAGACGTCGTGAAATTACGTTAAATAAATGTATAAATGCTGTATGGACAGGCATAGGCTGTACAGTTGCTGATGTATATATAACCAGTTGTTTGTACTTGTGCAACGATGTCTCCCGCAACAGGAGAATCAGCAACACCGGAAGCGCTATGCTGATACGAAGCGTTGGTGATCGTGAGGATGGGAGCCTTAGACACTGCTACATAGGTCAACTTCAACACGCGGCACCTACCTACAACCTATATTAACCCGGCGTGATTGCTGTACCATGGTAGTACATGTGTAATATTCATGAAATCGTAGAGCCAGCACTGCAACCTCAATTGGCGCTTCACGAACACTAGGCTCTATTGGAAAAGTGGTTTCAAGAGTGTCAATGACAAGTGACAAGACCAGGTCATGAGTGACAATCAGGTCATGAGGATAGCCCAGGTCCCATTCAAAAGCATGCAGCAGTATGCCTTTGCCAACTGGAGAATCTGGAAAGAGGTCACAGACCTGCAAGGCCACAGACCTCACAGAAATGTAACTTCCATAGAGGCAAAAGCGGGTGTCCTTAGTAATGTTAATTCAGCAACAGCATTCAACAAGTATTTTGTAACATGCTGTGAAACCCAAAATGACACCGATGGTGAGGTTCTACGTCTGTAGTGAAATAATTATAGTATTCCCAATACAATTCTGTTAACCCCTGTCACATGCACCGAAGTTGAAAAAAGTATCAGGAAAACAAAACAAATGTTCAGCAGGGTACGACGAAATAAAACCTGTGCCGATAAAATACGTGGCCGATGTGTTATCTGCTTACTTAGCGTATATTATCAACCTTTCTTTCAGCAAGTGCATTTTTCACATAAGCTGAAAATTGCTCGCGTATGTCCTATCTTTAAAGGCGGAAATCCGAAACACATGACCAACTATCGACTCATATCAGTGCTACCCGTTCCATCGAGCATTGACGAAAGTACATTGAACAAGCGGTTCCAGGATTTTTTGATAAATACATTGTTATAAACTATATGCAATTTGGTTTCCGAAAAACAAGTCTGCAGAGCATGCATTACTTCAAAAAAAGATCATATAATAAGAAATTTTCAGAAAAATTATACACAGTTGGACTATTCATATATCTGCGTAAAGCGTTTGATACTATATGTCATGACATTCTCTGGCATAAATTAAGCTCATGCGGTATACAAGAAATTGCACAATACCCATGGAAAATCTATTTAGCGAATCGACACAAATATGTGCGCATAAATAACATGCAATCAGATTACGTCGTGGTCGAGAAAGGAGTGCCGCAGGGATCCATTCTGGGTCTCCTCCTATTTATAATTTATATCAATGATCTTTGCCACATTCCAGATTGCCCCAAACTAGTAATGTACGCGGACGACACAAACATTTTTTTAGGGTTCTTCACTTGTCGACCTTGAAGGGAACGTAAATGTTCTTTTAATCAACTGTCGTCATGGTTGAAACTTAATAAATTGTGCTTAAACGCAAATAAGATCAACAACATGCTGTTTGTCCGCGTGAATAAACCAAGAAATTTTAATATAACTATTACCTAACAGGGCCACAATTAGAACAAGTTAACAACCAAAAGTTCCTATCTCTGCTGACTCGCAGGTCGCGGGATCGAATCCCGGTTGCGGCGGCTGCATTTCCGATGGAGGCGGAAGTGTTGTAGGCCCGTGTGCTCAGATTCGGTGCACGTTGAAAAACCCCAGGTAGTCCAAGTTTCCGGAGTCCTCCACTACAACGTCTCTCATATTCTTAGCGTGGTTTTAAGACGTTAAACCCCACAAATCAATCAATCACAAGTTCCTAGGTGCCTGGTTTCGAAAAGACCTGTGTTGGAATGAGCATATAGCAAATTTTAAGTCGGAACTTAGTGAAAGTATTGGCTGCTTATACAGGTTAAAGTCTTTAATACCACTGTGGCCAAAAAACATTCTTTATTATACTCTCTTCTACTCACGACTTTCTTACTGCGCGCTTGTTTGGGGCACTACAACGCTAACAAACTATTCTGAGTTGATTATTCTACAAAATAGCGTTCTGAGAATCTTTGAAAATTTTCGTGGCCCTATACGTGACTTGTGGACAGAACCACTATTTTCGAAATATGGCATGCTGAAAGCAAGCCAGATTTTTTTTTAGGTTATTACAGTACATAAAACGCAATAGGCTCTATCATTTGCTGGAGTCTCGTGGTTCTCTGTACGATATTTGTACCTACGCTAGAAAGGACTCCAAAGACTCGAACGATTTACGGACGACAACACTAATTTTTTCAGATAGCCACGTTTTTAAACAAAATCGACAGCGTACTAGATATATATTGTAGAGTTTCTAAGCATACGATCAGGGTGGTACTGATTCAAAACAACATTGAATTTTCTTGACTATCGTTCTGTGTTTCTTCTTTGCCTAAGTAGTATCTGATGCTTTTTGTGTGTGTGTTATTTTTCCTAGGCTTCCCTGTGTATATTGTTATTTTTGTATATCTTTTGCAATAGCATTGAAAAACCACAATGAATGTCTAATTGGTATATAAAAGATCACGACTGTTATGGATATATTTGCTTACTAGAAATAACACTTTACTACTGTTGTATGTGTTACAGCATTTGCACATGTACCTTTTGTATTTTTGTATTTTTTGCATTTTTCATCTGTATCCTGAACAATTCTTATGACGGCCTGCCTGTCTCACTGCATTTGGAGCAAAGGTCCTCAGTCAAGCTTTTAGCCTTTTGCCTTTGCTCAATCTTCTGTACTGGCACAGAAAGAAAAAAAAGAAATAATAAAGAATCTTCGAGCGCTGCCCTGTTCTTCTCTTTGATGCACAAGAGATTAACTATCTGAGATATTGTTTACGCAAACAACACATCTTCGCTGGAATAGCAGCTAAGAGGCCACCCTCACCAGCAGATTTTATTTAATAGTCTCGACAAAAGTGCATAACGCGGCACACCACAGCAAGTCATTCGGCATTTGCCGTACTTGTGTTGCTGTCGTCGCAACCCTTTCGCATCACTAAGCCTGCAGAGCATGAGTAGCCTCGCTCAGAATCAGCGCCTCTACAGTCCACTCGAGGGGTCTGCCAAGCACTAAAAGCTTCCTGACAAGCAATAAATAGCTGCTTATGCAGCTGTTTTGGTGCACTACTGTGTTCCAGCTCTTCGTAGCAGCCAAGATAAGTCTCTGGTTGTCTCCTACCAAAGTAATGCCATGGGGAATGTAACATCTAAGGGTCATACACGTTCCAGCCTATTGCAGTCAGAGCTTCCCACCACAGCCATGACACAGGATCCTTCTGCGTTGCACAGTGCTTTCATTATATTGAATGGGTCAGAGCCGCAACGCCTTTATTTCAACTCAATTCTTATTGAGGTTTTTCAGTGTGAAGCGTGTCCTTAGTACGGTTCCAAGGTAACACTAATCGCTGAATACTGTGTACCTGCGAGTGTGATCATCCCATGGACGGAGCTCCCTCTGATCGTGGTAGGAGCGAGCAGAGTACTGCCTGGTTGTGCTGCATTTTTGAAAATATCTATTAGCCCAGCCAGAGAAGTTGTGGGAATCGCTGTTTTAGAAGAGAATGTCATTCCCTTCATTCTTGGTGAGGATTGACTCGTAGTAGCTCAGGCATGTCTTATTTTTGAGCCACCGGAGCCAACGCAGTTGTAGCATACCGACACCAATATCACCCCTACGGCAAACCAAAAACTAGTCCTGAGGGCGTCAAATGGGGTGAGTCCGACAATGTCCGCCTTCTTTCTCCAACCCAAGCCCCGTTCCAAAGAGTGCCGACAACGTGATCATTCGCCATTTCCAGAGCAATTATCATGGCAAGCGTTAGCAGCACAAACGTTCTCTCAAGTAGTGCCCCTCTAGTGTTCAAAACCTTCGCTTCTGGCACTGTGCTCGAGCCTGTTTATACTGACATTATATCGGCCTGCATTGGCTGGCAGCTCACTCTAAGCGAGAAGTCAGCTATAGAAAGCATAATGGCCACACACAACGCTGTTTTTGCTCGCCTTGATGATTATCGGGGCCCTTCCACTAGTATGCGACACCACATTGACCTGCTACCTCATACTTAGTTGAATCATATAACAGTGTGCTGCAGAACACAGTTGGTTCCAGGAAAATCATGCAAAGAATTTTCGCCACCGAGCTATTATTCTCTGGGCTTCGGACCCGCGGGTTTTTTTGGTGGTAGT